GCAAAGTTACCAAAGCTACAAAAGCAATAGTCAGAAGCCTGGATAGATGATTTAAAAGGCTGGCAAAGGATTCTCAATGACAGAAGAAAAGAGGAATGAGAATAAAATCAAAGAAAACAGATAGAAAAAAATATAAATAAAAAATGCGAAATAATTAAATCAAATCAAGAATGAATGATAGCTAGCCTATTGAACAAACCATACAAGAAGGTAACCCTAGACAGATTTGTAGTCCAAGATGAAGAAGATGTCAGACTTACAACAAAACCTAAAAAAGTCCTAAATGGTCTGGCAATCCATTTCAAAAACCAATTCAGAAAACAGAAAACCAAATTAAGAGAAATGCCTGAAGAATAGAAAGAAGTATATAATCCAAAAGAATGGATCGATAAGTTTTGGTATAGTAAACTAGAAGAGAAAATTGAAGAAGAAGAGTGGGAAGACACAATAAGAGAACTTAAGCTCAACACAGTTTCAGAAATATTAGGCATAAGCTATATACTAATAAAACGAGCAGAGAAGAAATCACAAAAGATTTTTAGAGCTTTTGCAAATCTGGTCTTAGAAAAAGGAAAACTACCAATAAAATAAAAAATTACACAAGTCTATCCAATCTCAAAAGATGATGACTAAAAATATAACTTGAACAAAATTAGACCAATAGCACTAATTGAGACCTTTAGAAAGCTAGTTACAAAGGTGCTAACAAAAAGGCTGACCAGAATATTTACAGAAAGAGAAATACTTAAAGGGCCAAACTATGCAAGTTTGCCTGGCAACTCAACAGAGCAGCCAATACACTTGCTAAATATGATAATGGAAGAAGCACAAGAGAAGAACAAAGAAATATGGATACTCTTGCAAGACATGAAGAAGGCATTTGACTCAGTTCCTCTAGAAAGCCTAGAATGGGCATTAAAAAGAGTCAAGATACCGCAAAAAACAATGAATTACATTATCAACCTCTTTTATAAACATTAACTTAAGGTGATCACAGCTTATAGTTTAATAGAAGAAATAATAGCAGAAGACAGAATAGACTAGGAAAAGGTGATTTCTTTACTAATCTGGCAACTTTTTTACAATCCTTTACTGGAAAAGATTCAAGAAGACAAATCACTAGGCTACATAGTAGAGCAAGAAGTATTAAAAGGTACAGCTATCAGCTGTATTACAAAATATAGACAAGCAGCAATTGCATATGCAGACAACACAACATGGATTGCAAATAGCAAGAAACAATTGCTAAAAATTCTTAGAATTGTAGAAGAGTTTTTCAAAGCCAATGACATTGAAATAAATAGAGATAAGTCAAAGCTTATAGTAATGAATTCTAGACAAAGAAAAAAAGATAGAGAAATTATTTTCGGGCAGAGTAGAATAACAGAAGAGCCAAAAAACAAAATTGTAAGATCATTGTGAATCTGGCTGAATAGTAAATGAGAGAATCACTAGTCTGCAAAAAAGTAAAAGGAATAGTTAGCCAAACAGTCAAAGACCTCAGATACAAAAAAATAACAATGAGCCAAATTACATATATAAACAATACAGTAATAATCCCAAAATTAGGCTATCTTTTACAGTTAATAAAGATGTCAGAAAAAATGATTAATAAGATCCATCAACTGATAATCTGCTTAGCAAAGCATAAGTGCAATATGATGAAAACTACAAACAACTGCATAATAGAACACAAAGACTTAGAAGGCAGTAAATCACTAAGTCAAGAGATAGTAATGAAGCAAATAAGTAGTTTATTTATGAAACTTAACAAAAAAGATAGCCTGGGTGATCTGACTAAACTTAGGATAGCTCAAGAAGCCAAAAGGCAGGCTTAACAAAAAACATATAGGACACCAAAAGAAGACCAGAAGAATCAAGTTTTGGAAACATAATCTAGCCTGCTAGACAATAGTCAAAGTTAAAGAGATGGGTATGAACATCAAAACAGAAAACTGCTTATGGAAAGTATATAGATATGGGATAAAAATAAGGGATCTAGTTGAAGCCAAAACTTGGATAGCAAATAGTGGTACAATAAATGAATGGGATGTGCTATACCTGAATCAGCTTATAGATGCTAAAGGTGAGAACCTAATCATGTAGAGACAGCTCAAAAGCTTACAAGGACTGTCATGCAAAGGAAAGAAAGCCAAGTAGTTCAGTGAAATAGAAGAGAAAGTGTTAATCGCACAGACATGCAAAAAAATACATGACTATTTCAAAACTAATGATTTTAACACCCAAGCACTAATGATTAACTGGATGACAGTATCAGAAGACAGAAGAAAGAAAGAGTGAATTGTTCACAAACCAATGCATGATCAGCATTTCAGCAAAATACTAAAGAAGAAAGGGAAAAAAATATTAATAGAATATTGGTTATTGCAAGAAATAGAAGACAAAATATTCACCAAAATAAGAAAATGCAAAGGTTGTAGAAGTAATTCAGAACAAACAATAGACATATGTGAAAAGTGGATAAGACAAAGTAACAGTATTAAAGCAATTCCAGAAATACTAATAGAAAAGAAAAATAATAAGATCAATATAACAATAGAACAATTGCTAGAAAATAGATCAATGAGAGAATGGAGAGATAAAGAGAGAGAGTTAGCTGGATTAAAACAAATAGAAAGACTAAAGATAGAACTAATTAGAAGACAAAAATTTAAAAGAAAGATTGCAACTTACTTAATAGAAGTTCTTACAAGGAACATAACGAAAAACAAAGACAAATATATCTTTTATATGGATGGTGCATTATTTAAAAAAAGGAATAGAAATAGTTTAGAGAAAATGGGTATAGGCTGGGTACAAGTTGGAAATAAAAGAGATTGGCCAGAAGAAAAGACAGCACTGAGACTTGAAGGTTGGCTCTCAGCAACAACAGCTGAACTAGCAGCAATATAGTTAGCAGCTTTAACGATATCAAAAAAGAAGGCTATAGAAGTGTATACAGACAGCCTAGTGGCATTAAGAAATATTAATAGAGCAATTCAAAACACAGATGATGTTAAAGTGCTGAAAAAGAAAAATGCGATATGGCTAATTAACATTGTAGATCTAGTCAAAAGCAAAAACATCAAAATAGAGCTGATTAAGATCAAAAGCCACAGTAATGACAAATGGAACAACAGAGCAGATGTAATTGCAAAGAAAGAAGCAGCATGTGATAAGATGATATCTGCAGAGAAAGTCAGTTGTAAGAGAGTAGAGTACCACTTGGAATGGGAAAACAAAAAGGTTAATATACTAGCAAGACTTCTCTGCAAAATTGTAGCAAATGCCAGAATTGGAGCCAGTTGGAGAGAAACAAATCCAATCTAAACACTAGAACCAGAAACAGAGAATATTCAACATAACTGGTCAAGCTTTTGGAAAGAAATGAATAGAACAAAAGGCATATACTATACAACAAGAAAACTCAGTACTAGAAGGGCAATAGCGATCAAATGCATAATGAACAATCTACCAATGCTAGAAGAGTTAAATAAAAGAAGACCAGAGATTTATACAGTAACAGACTGCCAAGTTTGTCAAAAAGATGAAAAGGAAACTTAAGCACACTTAGCAAGCTGCATTGAACAAAAAGCTTGTGGAAGAGAATTCAAAAAATAGCAACAGCAACAGCATAGAACAACCTTAAAGAAAGTGAAAAAAGTAGAATTTTACCTCTAGTTCTATATGAAACGTTATTTGAGAAAACAGAAGCAGAAGAAATTAGGAACAGAAGGTCAATAATAAAAGGGCTAGTCACAACAGAGGTTGGAAAAAGGCTTGAACAAATCCTAAATAGACAGATGACACAAAAATGCATAGATATAGTAACAAAAACAGTATGGAATACATTCTATGACCAAATATAGAGAGTTTGATGTGAAAAAGTGCAGGAATGGGAAAAAAAGTGCAATATAATGAGCAAAATGAAGAAAGGTGCTTGAATAAGAAGAAAACCAAAGGAAAAGAAAAAAAAAAGCAAGTTGGCAAAGGAAGAAGAAAAGAAAAAGAAAGCAGAAAAACTAAATCAAGTGAAGAAAGAAGCTTGGAAGACAATTAATATGCTTGTCACAGAAGGGGAAAGACCTTTCTGATATGGCTTTAAGTAGTTAGACGAGCAGTCTATCTCTAACTGAGATAGTGTGGCAGGTTGCACTTAGGTACCAAATGGGTGGCCGAGTGATGCTGGACTTGGGTATTGGGAAATTCTATGTAATTATAAAAATGTATAGTTTCAAGAATCTTAATAAAGTACCAGCGTAACTGCTTAAGGTTAAAAAAAAAAAAAAAAAAAAAAAAAAAAATAATAATAATAAATAATAATAATAATAATAAATAATAATTTAGTTAATATCTTTATATATTTTTTTAAAAGAACTTAATAATTAAGTTGATATTTCTATCTTTTTAAAATAAAAAAAATAATAAAATTAAAATTTGTTAATATTTCTATAATCTTAGTAATATTACTTATATCGTATAGGAAGCTACAAAAACAGTAATAAAAAAATTAAGCCAGAACTTATGAATATTATTCAAAGAAATAACCAAATTAATAAATTAATTAGTAACTGTAATAATATTAATTTATCTGAAGCTTTGTATATTTTGGCTTTGAGACAATTTTCTAGAAGTTTGAATGATTATAAAATATCTAATAAAGATACAATAAATTTTATTTATATGTCAAAATTAGTAAAAGAAGAAGTTGGTACTGATACTGGATCTGATTCATTTCTCAGAATTTTTCTTATACCAAAGAGGATGAATGCATACATTTTTTATGATTTTATGAAATTACTTACCAACTATTATAATAATGTCTATGAGACAGATATATTTGTTCTACTTAAAGATTTGGAATTTAATGAGTTAATAGGCATATCTTTATAATAAATCAATATAGAAGAATATGAATAAGTAATAAAGTTTTCAGATTTATTTTTTCTAAACAGTATAAAAATTCTTCAAGAATTCTTGCAATTTTTGCTAAAAATGAAGATGTAATTACATATTTAGGCCAGGTTTAGTTTTTTTTTGAGCATTATATTAACTATTTAAAAGAATCAATAAAGCATAATCTTGTATACATTTGCTAATACAAAAAAATTAGATGAAAAATTAAGATATTAACTTAGTATTAGCAAAAATGATAAACTTTGTAAAGTGGAATTATGAAATAATGATTTTTATAATTTAGATCATAATTGCATAATTTCTATATATAACATACTAAGAAAATTTGTTGCTAATACTTTTATGATTGAATTAAAAAAGCCTCAGAAGTATATATTAGTAATTTTCTAAATAGAAAATATAATTTATAATGTTTATATAAAATAATTTATTGCTACTTCTGTATTTAATATATACATATCAATATCAGTTATATAATCAATACATTTTATTGATATTTTGAAGATTTATATATACAGTATTAATTAATCGATATATATATATTTATTGCATATCAATATATATATTTAAATTAACATATTATATACAATTAACAGATGTTTACATATATTTAGTATCTACAATTCAGATAATTAATAAGCCACTTGTATGTCTTATATATGCATATAAAGATATTAATATAATTTCTATAAGACATTTTATTGATTAATATTTAACTGAAATCTTCTCAGCCAACTATTTTTTGTAATATTATTTTGTTAAATTATTATTATATATAATAGAAGTATTAGATAGCTAATATTTTGTTTAATATTTAACTAAAATCTTTTTAAATTTATTTCTCGAATTTTAGCAAGATATCAACTAACTATATTTGTGATAATATTTGTTAAATTATTATTTTGTATTATAAAAATATCGAACAGCCAATAGCTTGTTCAAAATATTTGATTTTGATCTGTGAGAAGTATTATACTCTTTAAACAAATAATCTTTAATTACATACTTACAAATCTAAGAAGAATTTAACTAGTAATAAAACTAAAAAATGTTCTAATAGATAAAAAAATTATTTTAAATTATGTTAGAAAGATATTTGAAAACTTTAAATTAATTAAGTTGATAAAACTTCTAGTATATAATAATATGCCAATATGTATAAATCAATAAGTATAATTTATAATACAACTAACAAACAAATAATAAAAAAAAAATTTAAAACATACTAGTAGATAGTAACAGAAAGGTTTAATAAAATAGAAAATTATATTAAAAGTTTGCTTTTATTATAACTAAAATGATTATATTAAAAAAAATGCATACAATTTAAAAGATAATTGAGACAAAATACTATAATAAATTATAAAAGAAAAAAGAAATAATATATTTATTACTGTTGAATTAAATACTAAAACCCATATATTGAATTCAATAAGAATAAAATATAAGATAAAAATACTAATAAAAGAAAAATAATAAAAATGTCTAATAGTAATAATGAGAATCTAGAAAAAATAATCAAAAAGAAAAATAATACTAAACTTAAATTATTTTAAAAAAAAGTTTAAGATATAATAGATAGTAAAAACATTATTTTAAAAAATAAAAATTTCTCTGATTTAAATAAAAATAATGAAAATTTTATAAAAATTACTAATAAAAAACATAAGACCAAAAAATTACACTTTAAATACAGACTGACTATTATAAAAAAAAAACAGAAAAAAAATAAATACACTTTATAAAAAGAAAATATTTAAATATAAAAATAAACTAATAATATAAATTACAAAAATAATTAGATACAATAATATAAAAATAGCAACTATTAATATAAAGAAATAAAACTATTAATACAAATATTAGAAAACATTAATATTTTATAAGACTTAAAAATTGATTTAATCTTGTTGTAAAAAAAAATTTAAATGATATACAAATAAGTAACATTTTTAGATAGCAATAGTTATACAAGTCTATATAGATATTTAAAACTATCATATTAGCAAAAAATAAGAAAATTATATATATATATATTTTTTTTCTTACTGCATGGTCACTAGTGGGCCACAGCTGGTGGCTGTTTTATTAGTTCTTATTTCAAATTTACAGGACCTTCTATCAGGACCCTGTCTATATTTTTACATTATTTGTGTATATTTACAGTACTATCTATATACTAATTTATATGTTACTATTACCTCAGAATTTCACTGGGATTATTCCTAATTTGGGATTCCTTTGTTCTATTATTATTCTTAGCCCCCTTATCATCATGGCCTTCTTATATCAGATCTGTTGCTATTTAAGAATCTGGGTACCGAAGATCTCTCTATTTTTGTAATTCGCAGTTAGCTGTGGTTAATTAATAACATGGTCCTAACTTATTTTTTATCTCTCGTTGGACTTGAACCAGCAACCTTGCGATTGGTGATCTGGGAGTGTAACCACTTCACTATCAACCTGCAGGTCAAAAATTATATTTTTTAATATATAAGAATTATATAATATAAGAATTATCAAAATTTAATTTATTTTGGCAATATAATTTTTAGTTTACAAATATATATGCACTTTTAATTATAAAAACAAAATTAAGATTTTTTAATTTATATAACTTTACAATTAAGAAAGATGCAGTCAATATTGTTGCAAAAAACTTTAATTATAAGCTAAACTCTGATATTAATAGATAGTCAAGCTTTTTTACAAAATAATTTTACTAAAAAAAAGTTAAAAACACTAATGAAAAAAATAATAATATAGTAATAGTAGTTAAACAAAAGTCTTTCTTTATATTTTACCAAAAAACAAAAGAATAGAATTGATGTTTACAAGGCTTAATTACATTTTTATTAAAGAACAATTTGTCAAATATATCTTGTTACCTATTAGAAAAAGAACAAGCTCTCTGTTCTGGTCATTTTGATACATAATTTATTATAAACAAACCAAAACTCACCAAGATACAGACAAAAAAATGAAAACTAAAACCTGTCTTTGCAGGTTTTTTTATTGGCATTTTAGGAAAAACTGCTAGGTTGCTCTAGATTTTTCACTTTTCTGGCACCCATTAAAATTTTCTAAACATCCAATTAGCTTTTACAAATATACCACACTTCACAAATTGCTCCTAAATAGTCTGGAAGTTTAGAAATTTTTCTTATAAACAACATTATACAAATAATTTATACTATTTAAATTTTATAAACATTATTTTTAAAGATAGTTACATATAATGCCAAGCATTAATACTGTGGAACCTGATTCCTTTGACCTCGATAATTATATTGCCAAACATAGTAACAGTTCTGGCACTGTTACTTATAATAGCAATATTCATATTTTTAAAGTTCTACCTATCAATTTCAATCCTAAAACATGTGACCTTTAAAATAACTTTTATTACTTCATAAAACCTACTGAACCTGTTATTACCATCTGTTATTGCAAAAAATATCATACCTACTTTGCTTTATAACACATTACTATTCTATTATATTCTTAACTAACTTCTAAAAACACTCCTAATGCATCTAACTTTATGGAAATAGATTTTGATATGAAACTCTTTAAATCTCTTAAAAGCCTCTTAAGATCCAAATTCCAACCAAAACATGAAATTACTTACTCATTTTCTACTTTCTATAGTGATATTAGAAAAACCTCTACAAACCCAATCTTTTTCAAACTATTTTCACATCATGCACATATATGCATTATATGCAAAATCAAGAATATACCATGTATTATTCTTAAAAACAACAAACACTCACTTGACTCACAAGCTCTAACCTTTGTAACTAGTAAATAAAGCTTCCCTGCTTATACACAATGCATTTATCTTCTTAAACTTAAATACTCAACTTTCTCAATGCCTATAAACTGAGAACAATGCAATTTATACTGTAAAATCAAATGCTGGCAATTATTAGCAGAAGATAAATGTATACTTTTTAAGAAATTTCTCCAAAAACTACCAAAAAAAAACAAACTTATAAATGAATTTAAGGATAATAGTAAAACTAAAAACAACAAAATACAAAAAACTCCAAATAATAACAATCTAAAACAAAAAGATAAACAAAAAAAAAATAGAAAAGAAACTATACATAAACATGATATAACAAATAACTTTGACTGATTCTTGAATTATCCTATTACTCCTGAAATGCAACAATATAGCAAATTAAGCACACCTTTAGCCTTAAAAGTTTTCTCACTTCTAAAATCATACTTTGTAAATATTAATCTTAAACAAGAAATTCATACTGATCCAACTGATTCAAAAACTAGCAATAGACCTTTCACTAAATACTTATTTAACTACATACTCAACAGCTAATAGCAAATCTAAGTTTCTAACAGACTTTATTCTTGAAGCTAATCCTGAGTTTGATCAATCAAACCCCATTCTTTTCAAAGTTTTAGTTAAAACCCTTAAAGGCTTAGTTGCAAAATTTACAACAGTACTTTTTACTCAACTGGACTATATACATATCATTCAATCACATTATTCTATTCCACCATATTCAACAAATAACAGAAAAAAAGTTGCTATTAACATGGCTCATTTATACTTATATCTAAATCATATTTATAAAACTATTAACTTCAAAAAATTTATAAAAAAACTTGACATCTAACCTCTACACTTTACCTTAAATTTTGATATAGATTATAATGCAGATAAGCTATTATTTGATATTTAAAATGACAACAGATTTAACATTAAAGTCACATTAAACATTCCTACTAAAAAATTTGAAGATGATTTCAAAATTCTCTCATTTAAACCCCATACCCAAACCTATGAAACCTGGTTTCAAAAATTTTTTGATAAATACAAAATTCAATTTGAAAAAATTGATTAACAAAAAACAAATAATTATATCAAAATGCTAATTACCCTTTTCAAGTACTAACTAATTTGAAAGGGAGAAGTAGCGTAATTCTCAAAAGCTTGTCAAAGACTGCAAGGAACTTTTACCAGAACTTACTCTCTTCCAAATACCTTATCTTCACTTCAAGAATGCTCTAAAGCTACCTTCAAAGCAGCACTTCATCATTTTCATAATTCTATAGCAAAT